AAATGCGTATATACTACGTGAAGTAAGACTGACTCCGGTTGTAAATTCATTCAAGACGCCTCGGTGTAAAGTTACATGTAGGATTCTTGTCGTGGGGACATGGAAATAACATGTGTAATCCAATAGGACTTTGGAAATTAAGATGTACTAGAAATTTAGATTATAAAGATCGATATAAGATAATGTATGTCAAATAAGAAAACAATGTTAACCAGATTGTTGTATAAAGATAGTTCTATTAGATCAATTTATGAATGATGGAGTCAGTGGGCAGTGATCGGTAAATTGAGTTGTTTTTGGGTGTGTTAGAGAAAATTATTTGATTTTATGGATTTTGAGCTAGTTACATAGATCGTCAACACTAAATTGCAAAATCATTTTGTTTCACAATTACCTTTCTTTTTAGCATTTCACCATTTTTACAACTTTTGATGAACCTTGTCAAAAACAGTAGGAGAGACAGGGTATGCCACATTTTGATCAGCAAAAATTTAATTAATTTACAAGACAGCTAGAAAAAAAGTAGTAATGCAAGAATTTGTCTACGAGGAAATACTCAAATACTGTCCTTAAATAGGAAGGATTAGTCCTAAAATCAAACCATACAAGATAAGGGCGAGCGTCACAACCGTCCACACCCGATGACTTTTGGCTCTAAAAAAGCAATTCGGTCTGCAGATCATGTTAATGTAGGACGCGGACTCAATGCAATAATGGAAACTTGTTTGAACAAACATAATTTGTCTTTCAACCTTTGAACCCCATCTCAAAATCAGTATAGTTTAGCTGTAATGAAAACTATCACTGTAGTAATCTAGCACAACCGTACCCATACTCTTACATTTTAATGGTAATGCTAACATTTGTCTACGAGGAAATGCAGAAATACTGTCCTTAAATAGGAAGGATTAGTCATAAAATCAATTCATACAAGAAAAAGGCGAGTGTCACAACCGTCCACACCTGATGACTTTTGGTTCTAAAAAAGCAATTGCACTGCACGTGCAAGTGCACAACCGAGCACTTTCGGCTCTTCAAGCATGCCAGTCTACAGATCATGTTAATGTAGGGCGCTGACTCAATGCAATAATGGAAACTTGTTCGAACAAAAATACTTTTTCTTTTCCTCTTTGAACCCCATCCCAAAATCAGTATAGTTTAGCTGTAATGACAACTGTCACTCTCACCTGGCACAACCGCACCCATTTTTACCTTAACTTTTTAAATCAGGACCTCTCAAAGCCCATTACATAAATCCATTTACCTTTATACATCACTATATTTAAGTTTAACATCTCAATTCAGCAGAACAATATTAATTTCGATTTGTTCGCAAGTAAAGGGCGACCGTGTTGCGTCCGACTAAATTTATTGTGTCCGAGATAAAGCGCGAGAGAATTGAGACAGGTTTACTGCATATACGCGAGCATTATGCGATTCAGGTGTCGTCAACCTTTCATAAAAAATTAGTAGTTATTTATAAAGAAATATCCTAGAAAAGCATATCTAATAAATGCTTAATTAACAGCAATCTGTACCAACTTGATGTGAACATTCCGTTTTAGATCTCACAAGTGGAACCTCAGGTTTACTCTTTTGGGATTTTGATGAAACTTTGATAGTGATAGAGTTGATAGTCAAACCAAACGCTTTAAAATATTAGAGGTATATGAGAAGGTTTTATTATAAAATCTTAATCCAAAATTTTTATTTGAGATATTTATTATTATCTAACTTAATTCAAAAAGTAAATTTTCCTTCTTGAAATAATATTGATATACTTTATAAGATAATATTCAACTCAATACTAACTGTAGAGGGCGTCCATTATTCACGTAAGGCTTTTAGAAGAAGGGGAGTGATTTGACCCAAAATTACGAATAAATCACGTTGGAGATGGAGGGGTCTAACAAGGGTCACAATTTTACGATTTTTTCGTAAACTCGAAAAACTTGTTCGAAAAATTTTACGTTACTAAAAATACACATTGGGGTAAGGGTGGTAATTTTAAATATCAAGACATATCACCAAGGGGGGAGGAGGAGATGTTCCAAAATACCTGAAAAATCGATCACGTGATTAATGGACGCCCCCTAAAGTTTATGTAGATGACGCTGTTTTATCAAAATCAAAACTTCCAGTAGGTAAGTTACATTAATTGCAAATAAGTAGAAATTAAATTTTTTGGATATCTTTACTTTTAGAGCATGCTGAACATTTTAGCACACCTTAGAAAATATGGATGCATATGTGTTTGTGTGTGAAATATGTAAATATGTATGTTTGGATACGATTATTTATCAACGATTTTTACAATATAATTGATTTCGATGGATACCCTAATTAGAATTGTATTATGTTTACATCCCCTGATTAATCCATTGGGCACTTCCTTTTGTCGAGACCTCTGACTATAGATCCGAGATCAGAGATCCAAGATCGTGTGATTTATTAGTGATTCGCGACGCAGAGTAATTGGATTTCGATTCACACAATAATTTTTAGGACGTGATATCTGTGCGAGACCGTTTTCTTATCAGACATTGTTTATCTTATGTGAATATTGCTGGTACAGGGAAAAATGTATTGGATTTTGCAGTAAATACTTTGAAAGAAATTATATTTAAAACTATACAGAAATTGCTTTGAAATATTATCTCACGAACTAAAAAAATGGATAGTATATAGGACATAAAAATAGCTTTAGAAAATTCTCTAGAATATTCAATTTTTTTCAATTAATGCACGAAGACTCCGGCATAACAATAAATGATAAAATACGAAAAAATACGAATACATTTAGACAATTACAAAAGCAGCCTCGAAGTTCATCCAAACTCACTTGTCAGAAAAATACTCCACAAATAGTACTAGGCAAGATAAAAAAAATATATTACATTAAATATTTTATTTTCATCATTTCTGCTAACTGGTCAGAAGATTTTTCATTTTTAAAGTCATTTTACTACAGTTTTACTTGTTGTCCATTCCAGGACAGGTGTAAAAATTACTATATGATGGAGAAAAAAAAAATCTCAAAACTATTATGAAATCTACAATTTTAATTTATACGGTTTTATTATCTTAATTTATTAAATTAAATATGCCTTTGCAATTCTATTCTGAAAATAACAAAATCGCGCCTTACCTTACCTTACAAAACCTGACCTTACCTGACGCAGGTTCAGTAAGCGAATGAAGGAAGAGTCAAGAAATAAAGATGGAATAATATACGTCGGTCTTCGACTTTGGCATTATCCCAAAAAAGCGGTAGAAAAATACCTTAGAAGAAATAGAAAGAAAAGACGGAATAACATCACAATATCAGACAAAATAGACGCCACATCAACGACCAGTAAGATTCATATAGTAAATCAATGATAAAATAAATCATATGAAATTAACATAGGATTACGTTCATTAATCTCCCAATTCATCATTGTAGATATGTGTTGTATTTTGCTGTTTTTCAAAAATTTGTTAATTAGTCCTTTTATTTATTTTATTTATTTCTATACCATAGGCAGGGTAAAATAGGACAAACCAGGTGGAAACAGGTACAATTTTTAATTTATAATATAGTAATAATATCTACATTATCCAATCATAACGAAATACAAATTTCAAGGGCTCATTTTTTACAAAGACCATATTGCATTCAACCTGGATCAGGTACTTCGCAAGAAATTTTTACCAGCAGTTAGAATGACTATTAATTTAATTTATCTCTTGCAAAATTGTTTTTTTTAACTTAATTTACTTTTTTAATAAATATTTTCAATATTTAATCATTATGAAATACAAATTTCAAGGGCACATTTTTTACAAAGATCATACTGCATTCTGCATTCAACCTGGATGAGGTTTCTTGTTAGAAATATTTACCAGCAGAGTATTGGGATAATTATTAATTTAACTTATCTCTTGTAAAATTGCTTCAATAAACTTAATTTAGTTTTATATTTAATATTTTCTTATTGTTTACACAGTTGCCAGTGTAAAGATTTAGTTGATCCGTTTTACATCATCCAAATGTAAGCTTTTATAAAGACTATATAAAAAAACTGTATAACTATCTTAAAAATAACAATTCATCTTATAAAACAACGAATACTTAAGAATTATATTTATGTATGATAATCTCAAAGCCAAGAAAATACCAACGAATATAATAACTTTTGTAACGAATATTGGTACATGGCTGATAAATTCCTGATTAAGGTAATGTTTGGTTACATATCTTTTGATTTCTACTATAAAATAGTACGTTAAAGTATTTAACTCTTTACTTGGTTTTGAAATAATGGTGGTGTAACATTTTCCTCCCGGACCTTAAAACCTCATCTAGCCTATGTATAAAAATTTAAAAATATATTTAAGAGACCTTACAGATATATTATTGAAATAGATAAATAAAAAATTAATTTAATTTGCAGCAATGGAATACTCCGTACATTTAAGAAGGAACCAAAATGTTAACTAATTGAATTTTTATATTTATTTATTTATTTTATTACGTAGAACACTCAAATTATTTAAGAGAAATCAAAAAAATTAACTAAGATTTTTTTTAAATTTAATACGAATTTATTTATTATATTTAAAAATCATTTTTAAAAAATCGATAAAAAACTTAATTAATAATAATATTAATAATAATAATATCTATTGCAAGGTAACAATTTATAAAATTTTTAGAAATTGAAATAGATAAATAAAAATTTAATTTTTTTTTTATTTTTTTTTATTATCTCTTTGATTTACAACTGTCCAGTAAAGGACATTCAATAAATTTGATGAATTTAGAATAGTCGGCCGAAAAGAGACATTGTATACTGCAAGGGCATGTTGGAAAAAACCACTCAGTAGTTGTTGTTTCATTCGATATAAATTTCACAATATTTTATTGATAATTATATAATTTTAACAATTTACTTATGGAATAATTTCTTATAAATAATGATTAAGTTATTTCCATTTTTTATCAGGAGAGTTGATGGCTTAAATCCAGTGGCGCTTTTCTTTTCAATCTTCTTGGATAGTTCTCTGTTATCAAAAATTTAAATTGTATTATTTTTGTCAAATTTTATGAACATATTCAATAACAATGAATATGTTGAAAATGTGTATAAAATAGTAAAAATGTAAATATATATGAAGAAAGCATAGTTTAATACTTATAAACATCACATCAATTTTAATCAATTTTGGATTCACATTAGATTCTTACCAAAGTCGCTGGCCTACACACTAATACGCAACTGCATTAGTGTGATATTCGTACAACTGCATTTTCGGACTCTTACGCGTGCTGTGAGACCGAGAGAGCTTAACACGGAAACGTGGAAGTCGGAAAGTATATAAGCATACAACGACATTGTTCAGTCAATAGTAGTGCATTTAATAGCTTCCAATTACAACACTATGCAATTTGCTGGCTTCCGCAAAATTAGACGTTATATTGGAATCAGAGGTTGATTCGAGGATTAAATGATATTTTACATATCGACTGAAACTATTTTAGATACTAATAATGGTATTTTATTGACATTGTCTTGATGTCATGTGCTACTGGTAAAAATTGGAAATGTCAACCGATATGAAGACAGTCGACTGAACACTTTGGAATTGTACAAACGAGTGAATAGCGGTGGTAAGTGCATTTTTATTGAAAAAAGAAAAAGAAACTAAATTGAGCCCATATTTGGTACAAGTATTTCTTCTGCACAATGTCATCACAATAGGATTCAAAGACTATGACGAAACAATGATATAATAAAGGTGATTGACGACTAAAAGTAAAATAACTAAAATCAAGAAAAACGAGTTGTTAACAATAATAAGTGTTTCAAAAAATAGTATTCCATATTATAGATTAAAAAAGAACTTGAATAGGACCACTTTTTAAAAAGAATGTTCACTACACTGATAAAGAAATCAATGAATAAACCTCAAAAAACTCAATACGCCTTCAATATAAATGCAATATCAACAGAACAATAGCGGAACCATAAAGCTTAACAGAATCTCAGATTTAAGTAGCAAAATTAAATTTGTTCCAAAAAAATTATTTAAAAATGTAAAGCATTCTAAAATTTTAGAATGAAAAAGATTGATAAAATAACACTAACCTTTTTAACCAGTATGTAGCTATCAGTAGTGCAGGATTACCTGCAGTCTACAGCCCAGCATATCCAAATGATAAGACCTATATTAAACAAACAAAATAATAAGATATAAAAATAATATGAAATAAAATTATAGTTATTTTGATCAAAGTGAAAACAGTGAAAAAACTTTAAAATGCTAAATTATAAAAAATGTAGGTAATTAGATTTTGACAAATATCTATTACAATAAAGCTATGTAGTACTTAATCAAAAATGTGCTACATTCAGCTAAAATTTGAACTCTCAACCGACTAGAGACTAATATAATCTCAGAATGAAATATAACAAAATAAAATTTTTTCCAAGAAATTATTTTAAAATAATAATGCTTACTGAAATTTTCGAATGAAAAAGATTGATAAATTAATACTTACCTTTTTATACCCAGCAATACAGGATTACAAACAATCTACAACCTGATACTAGATAACAGTCAAAAACCAGAACCTATATTAAATAAAATCATTATTATAAGATATGAAAAGAATATGAAAAAAAATTATATTGATCAAATTGACAAATATGAATGAACTCTAAAATGCTAAATTATTTATAAAAAATGTAGGTAATTAAATTTTAACAAATGTATACAAGGTCTACTACAACTACTATATAAAAATAGTAAAATCAAATTTATAAAATAAATCTATTTTAAAACAAAAATGCATACTAAAAATTTCGAATTAAGTTTGATAAAATGATACTAACCTTTTTAACCAGCAATACAGGATTACCAGCAATATACAACAGCAAGATCTATCCTAAATAAACTGATTATAACAAGATATAAAAACAATGATAAAAATATGTGAAAAAAAATTGCCGATTAAATATAGCTAATTCAAAATCAAGTAACTTTAGAAAAAAGGTTTGAAGCAGGTGTCTGAATATGATAGATAAACATGAACTTAAAATTTAATTAAAAATTTAAAATACCAGATAAACTTACGGCGAATAAAGAACTAAATAATGAAAACTGAAATTTAATTGAAGTTAAACTGAATAAAATGTGTTATAAAAAAGTGATCATGATTGAAAATTTCGACTATATCCGGGCGTAGCTTTGGACTGAGGGACACTTCTTGATATGTTATTCAACACTTCACTCACTATAATACACACTATGCACTGAAAACTTATTGAAAAAAATAAACTTTAAAAAACACCAATTCAAATACTCGAAACAAAATGTTTCAAAAAACGACATAAAATGAAATAAGTTTTGGCTTCATTATAATATGCATTTCAAACTTTAGTATTGAAAAAATACAAACTTTGAAATAACATTTTATAATGATTTTATTATAATAAAGAAAACATGCAACTGGACTTACCCTCACGCCCATCTCAGCAACAATATCTTGAGTTGACCTACCTGTAACAAAAAAAAAAATATATTTAAACTAAGAGAATATTACATACAATTTATATATAATCATTTTAAAATTTAAAGATATTTAGAATATTCATCAGTAGTGTGTCCGACTCACACGACAGGAATCTCAGAACCGAATCCTGTCATTGACATAGAATTTAAAAAATATAGTCAATTTGAAGTTAAAATAAAATTTGAATTGTTGAGTTGAATTTGAATAGAAAATTCAAAGAAAAAAAAGAAAAGCTAGATGAAAATTTGAGAAGATCAGATTTTGAAGAGAAAAAAAAGATATAAAAGTTAAGATATCAGTTGTAAAGAGCAAAAAAATGAATAGAATAGGATTTATATATGAAGATGATATAGAATATATAAAAAATAGTGTGGAATATAAATGGAGGTTGTACAGAATATAAAAATGAAATGTTGTTGGTTGCTAAATGCTCTAAGAATGCAAGGCCAATTAAAATAAATTAATAAATAAATAAAAATAATAGATACATTTATTTTCTTGTTCAGAGGAATGATAACCGCCCCAGTTTTTTTTAGAGGTCATAGCTGCGAAGTCTCAGATATTGCTTATATATATATATATATATATATATATATATATATATAACGATTCACGACAATAGTGGTGTGGTCTAAAATACCTTATTCAGCCATATTTCGTACAGAACATGGTTTGCAGTTGTCAGATAATATGCTATAGCTGGCGATACCCCATTATCGTTACTTTACCGGCTTCGGCCTGTAATTCTTGCATGCAATGGATGCAGTGATATCAAATAACGCGAGGTCATCAATTTTGCAAAATTACTACTTTAGTGGGTTTGAAATTTGCTACGATAATTAGAATTGTCCCCATTGCAACCTAGTACAGAACTTGGATATTTTCAAAAAAAAAAAGTTTATTTTTGTGACATTAAATTGCCATAGGAAGTAAAGTATTATATGATACAAGTATTGCTAAATTACCAAAGATGGCATAAAATCTCTAATTCTATATGAAAATTATATTTTTAAAACGTGTTTTTTCTTAGAGTAACTAGTTGAAATCTAAGTGCCTGGTAGAAGTTGCAGTCAAGATATCTGGAAACCTGTTCAAATCGACTAAGAGGATACGACAAGTGGAACTGGATCGTTTTACATTCAGGGATGGAAACTTACTTCATATATTTTGAATGAATTATTTTAACTATAACTATTCATATTGTACATGTATACAACATGTTATAAAATGCCACTTCAAAGTTACTTTCACCAATATATAAAATATTAAAAATCGTATACATATAAATTGTGTGACTGATATTGTTTATAAAGTTTTTCACGCAATGAATATTTAAATATCAAATGTATCAAATAATAAATGTAATTTGAAACTGTGTTTTTTCTACCACTATTCAAATAAATCCATATAAATCGTATAATATTATTCGTATAAAACATTGTAATTAAAATAATTTAATCAATTATCAATTCAAATGCAATTTAGTAATTCATAAATAATGCTCAAATTGCATAGTTATTTGGATCTAAAAGGGAATGAAGATTCGCGAAACAATATCGGTCATATCATATGTTTCATGTTATAAATCTTCTGGAGTATCTAATAATATCCTATCATAATGACATACCTTACTTCTCATATATTAACCATTTTTCCTTATTGCTTTCATTGACTAATCGGCAGAATAGAAGAGTTTTAAAAATGTAAAATATGCATGTATATTTATTCAGCTATATACTCTTATATAAGGTAAAATTGAACAACTATCTATGGGCATCACTTCCATATAGTTTCAGTTCATAAGGAGCTACTACTTATTGTTCGTAATTTCACATTCACGTAATTTAGTCATAACTAAATTGATACACATCCCGCTAATAAATATATAAATTTACTATATTTTTAGAAGTATTTTCTAAAAGAGGATATTTGCTACCCCTGAGTTCTACCAAGAGGAACGGCGAACCGTGGTAGATGACAGCCTAATGGTCGTTTGCAAAGATATGGACTATCTTGTAGAAATGTCTCCAAAGGTTATAATATTCTTGGAATATATTCTTAAACTTAATATTTTGTTTGACAATTATATTTAAACATAATGCTGGACAGCAATAAGTGTTGTGAATAGATAATAAAAAATCATGAAGTGTTTATTTAGCATTTAAGTTTTGTACTGGTAAAATTATTGCTATATTACTATAGGTACTTATAAATTACAAATTGAATAATTATAAAATGATAAACAAGTTTTTAACAAATTTTTATAGAAACCGATATCAATAGGGTTATTACTAGACTATTCTCAGAATAATACAAAACTCAAGACACAATAAACTATTAAAGATATTTTTTATTGTGTCTCGAGTTTTGTATTATTATGGGAGTATATAAAACTAAACCATATGAAAGTGATGCGCAAGACATTCTAGAAAGCGTTCAAAAGATTTTCGTATTGATATAATCATACACTAATATAATTTAAATAAAACGTGAATGTGCAAATATTTACTTCAAAAAAGATATATTAAACTATAATTTTAATAAATATAAGTAAATGATATTTTGAATTTTACTTAGAATACAAAAAAAACATAGAAAGAAGTGCCAAATTGAAAAACAACTATTTATAAAATGCTAAATTCCTCCAAGACATGGTAATGAAATACTTCCAATACCATAAAGAAATGCAAATTACAAAATAAATCTTGTAAGAAGACCTTAGTAGTGTCATGAATCTTTAGTTTAAAAAAAGAGTAAAACGTATAAATGGTAAGAAGAAGTAGTAAAATGATCTCATAAACAAGAGCATCCATGATTATGAACAAACGCCGATAGTTTTCTTATTATAACAAAAAATCTAGAAATATGCAAAAATGCAATAGAATACTAACAATTTATGTACAAATTCGTGCAGCAAATATTACATTAAATTAAGAATATAAAAAAATAATTGCAAAATTTTGTAGGATCATACATATCCAAATTGAGCAATTCAATCAATTTCATATTGATTATTTTACTGTAATCTATAATCATGTATAATACCTTTGACAATTAGTGGAACGCTCTTTTGTAATAATTTCATAAATACGAAACTCCATGCACTCTAAAAATTTTAAAATAACATATTGAACTATACCCTGATGCAACTATGTAATTGAAGACAAATGTTGATATCTAAGCAAAAAAATGGAATAACTTTGAACTAAATTACTAGCAGATTAATTTAAATCTTACTATTTAGAAGAATAAATTTACTACATTGTAATAAAAAATTAAATTTACTTCAAGTAGATAAAAGAAAAATATAAAGTGTAAATATAAAAAAAATACAAATCATGATGATACATACTAGCTGAAAACCTATTTTACGCATAATATTGAACTGAAATACCTCCTACAAAGTATATTTTATCACTAAAATTGACGAAAAAAGTTCATATGACAAAAATTAAGTTATTATTAGAATAATCAACATGGAATTGATTGAATTGCGTAATGCTTAAAAATTTTATCAAGAAGCCAATTTGACGTCTTACAGTCTATTATTAAAATGATTTTCTTCATGAGATGCATAAAGCAGTCTAATTTGAAAATATACGAGATTCAAGTCGAAGTGACTGATTAGCTTAGAACATACTAAATAGGGAACTAAATAAGACCACTTTTGGAAAACAATGTCAAATTTTAAGTCATTATCATTAACACAATGGAATTGATTTTCACCAAGAAGCGATTTGATACCTTACTGTAGAAACGCAATCAAATTAACATTTAATTTTATTTTAAAAATAATAATTTGAAAATGAGATTTAGGTCAACGTTATAGATATACTCATCAGAATAAAACATACTAGAGAAAAATGCATATTATGCATAACATTGTATTAAACTACTTATACAAATATCCTCCAAAGTATATTACCAAAAAGACAATTTAACGAGTTAAAAACAATGATTATACTCAATCGATATACGTGCTGATTAAAATAAAAAATAGTTTCAAAGCAGCTAGTAGATAAGAAAAGACGGAACGTTGTCTGCGAAAAAGAAACTGAATACGACCACTATAGGAAAAGAACGTCAAATTTTAAGTCATTATCATTATCACAATGGAATTAATTAATATTTACCAGCCAATTTGACACCCTACTACAGCAAATTGAATTAACATCTAGTTTTAAAAATAATAATTTGAAAATAAGTGAGATTTAAGTCAAAGAAATACTGATGGCAATAAAACATACAAGACATAATGCATAATATTCACAACATTGTACTAACATATTAATACAAATGTCCTCCAAAGTATATTGCCATATTCAGAACTAACAAAAAAGCGTCCTTACGACAACTCCAAGTTGTTATCAAACTAATCATAATCGAACTGATTTAAGTGCGTAATGCATAAAACTTTTCACCATAAAGCCAATTTGACAAGTTAAAAAATTAAATAGACATTAAATACTCAATCGATACTTTTGATATGAGTTAATTAAAATAAAATTAATGATAAGGCAGCTAGTACATGAGAGAAGTCAGAACCTGATCTGCTAAAAGGAAACTAAATAGGACCACTTTTGGAGAAGAATGTCAAATTTTTAGTCATTATTATTATCACAGTGGAATTAATTGATATTTACCAAGAGCAATTTGATACCAGACTGCAGAAACGCAATGAAATGAACATCTAATTTTATTTTAAAAATAATCATTTGAAAATAAGTAAAATTTAGGTCAAAGTTATAGGCATACTGATCAGAATAAAACATACCAGAGAAAAATGCATATTTTGCATAACATTGTATTGAACTACTTATACAAATATCATCCAAAGTATATTACCAAAAAGACAATTTAACCCTCCGTCGGTCGGCGTGGCCTGCCAGACTTTTTTCGACTTCAATTAAAAAAATAAAATACTTCTAGTAATACAATCGACTTGAAATTTCTTGACTTTTCCTAAAATTTCATTAGCTATCGATCAATGAAAAATCAGGACGAAAAAATGTACAGAAGGATAATTATAAGGATACTAACTTTTTTATACTTCGAACGGTCGGAAAGGTCTGTCTAGACCACCTATACATTTTGTATGAAATATACGCTTTTTAATATATGTAAACCAGTATTTTGTCTTTTTCCATGGTATTTTCTATTCAAACTGCGTTGTATATATTCTTTGCTATGTGTTGTAACATGAATGTTAGTATTTTCATGACGAGAGTTCCTGGAAAACCTATCAAACTTATTGGTAATCACAAACAATGTAAATCGGATGAGTAATGCGCACATTATCAACAATTTTTCTACCAGTAGTACTGCATTTGAAATTTTTTTTGGCAAACCTGTAGTGAAATTATATTTTCAACTTGAATTTTATAGCTTATTTCAAAGGCGACGCACCTCATTTCGTTTTTATTTGAATTTCACATTTATTTCGAAGGAGCCGAAATAGAATAAATATTGTTTTTTTATTGATATAAAACAGACAAATAAAAATAATAAAAAAAGCAACGATTTTTTTATATTCTTTGATTTTTTTATATAATATAATATATATATTTTTTTATTATAAGCAAGCTCAACACATGCAAAAGACGGTAAGAAACAGAAAAAATCAAAACTATAAATAATTACTACTAATAATCGTTAACATATAAGACACCAAAAACTCATTTATCCCATATAAATGCATGTAAAATGAATGGTGGTCCAGCCAGACCTTTCCGACCGTTCGAAGGTGAAAAAATATCCGACCGACGGAGGGTTAACGAATTAAAAACGTTGATTATACTCCATCGAAACTTTCGACACGAGATAATTAAAATAAAATTAATTATAAGGCAGCTAGTACATAAGGAAGATAGAACATCGTTTGGGAAAAGGAAACTGAATAGGACCACTATTGAAAAAGAACATCAAATCTTAAGTCATTATCATTGTCACAATGAAAATAGTTGATTTTTACCAAGAAGCCAATTTGACATCCTACTGCAACAACCCAATCGAATTAACATCTAGTTTTGTAATAATACTAGTTTTGTAAAATAATAATTTGAAAATAAGATTTATTCAACAAAGTTGAAGAAATACGGTTGGCAATAAAACATACTAGACAAAATGCATATTTTGCGCAACATTACACTCAACTATTTATAAAAATATTTTTCAAAGTATATTACCATGTTCTAAACTAACAAAAAAGCGTCCTTATGACAAGTCCAAGTCGTTATCAAAATAATCATATTTGAACTGATTTAAGTGCGAACTGTATAATTTTTTTTTTACTAAAATACCAACTTGACATGTTAAAAACATTGCTTATACTCAATCGATACTTTTGATACAACCTAATAAAAATAAAATTAATTTTTAGTAGTACATGAAAGAAGCCCGCGCGTCGCATGCGCCAGAGCGGCTTAACAAAAAGGAATAACTCCGGGCGGCAAGCAGCGCAAGAGTTAGCCCCCTACGGTACGCAAAGAACGCGTCACCGTTGAGCATTATTGTTAAAAAAGAAAAGAAGAAGATTAAATTTGTGAAATTGAGACTTGATTTGTGAAATAAAATTTGTAAAATGTAGTTTAGTAACTTCAGGAGTTTATTGTGGATTTGATATATTTTCAAAAGAAGTGCCAAAATACCACCAAAACAGTTTTGTAATGTAGCATTGGGAATGAATAGTAAATATGAAGAAAAAGTAACAAATCAAAAAAATCTTCAAAATGTAAAACAAAAGATGCTGAATAGGACCACTTATGGAAAATAATATCTGCTACGCAGCATTAACAAATGAAGATTTAAGAATTTTATTGGTAAGGAAAAGTTAAAAAAAAAACTCAAAAAAAAATCGATAGATATATTTTGTAACACACTAAAATATTACTATTTTTCAACAGAATCCTAATAACCAAATCAGTGAAAACACCTCAACAAAATCTCAATACGCCTCGAACAAAAATAAAATATCAATAGAACAACTGCGGAACCCTTATGTCACCTTTGTGTAGCTCAACAAAATCTCAGATTAAAATAACTCCAAGTCGTTATCAAACTCCAAGTCGTTATCAAAATAATCATATTTGAACTGATTTAAGTGCGAACTGCATATTTTTTTACTAAAATACCAACTTGACATGTTAAAAACATAGCTTATACTCTTATGATTTATAGATCTTCAACATGTGAAACAAAAGAAGCTGAATAGGACCACTTATGGAAAATAATATCTGCTACGCAGCATTAACAAATGAAGATTTAAGAATTTTATTGGTATAGAAAAGCTAAAAAAAAACTCAAAAATATCGATAGATATATTTTCATAACACACTAAAATATTACTATTTTTCAACAGAATCCTAATAACCAAATCAGTGAAAGCACCTCAACAACGTGCGCCTCGAACAAAAATAAAATATCAATAGAACAACTGCGGAACCCTAGTGTCACCTTTGTGTAACTCAACAAAATCTCTGATTAAAATAGCAAAATCAAAAAAAAAATGAACAATGAAAATAACACTAACCTTTATCGATCTGCCACTATGCTTTATTCTTGCTCGTACCAGCATTCTCAGCAACCAGCAACTAATAATCACCAATACAGGATTACCAGCAATCAGCAACTTAATATATACCAGCTAGCATATCCAAAAACCAGGAACATACACCTATATTAAATAAACTCATTATAACGAGATATAAAAATAATGATGAATAAAAGTTATAATTTTACTGATTGCATTATAAAAATTAAAAATTTTAAAATAATTTATAAAACTATAGAAAATTAGATTTTAAACAAATATATACAGGCCTATTATAATTACAGCTATGTACTGAAACAACTATGTGCCAAAATGTTTTAATGTGCTAAATTAAATAAAACATTGTAAACATTGTAATTCTCAACCGGCCAGAGAACGGTCGACGGGAGACGGGAAAAAGTTAGTCACATGAAGTATATCGGATATATATTTTATCATAAAAATACCTACTGCACAATACCATCGAAGGAAAAAAGTAAGACTAAAAGAAGTATGACAAAGTAAAATTATAATACATGTGATTAAAGGCAAAATATAAAAAAAAATCAAACGAAATTGAGTCTGAAAATTGAAAAGAGATTTTTTTGAAAATGCGAGATAAAAATAGTTTACAAGAAATATTACTCAAAATAAAAGACTATGAATAAAACTTTCTACAGAAGTGCGATATATGTACATAACTTGTGTTACAACAAATAATAATGTGAATTGTAGCAAAAGATAACACTTTATTACTAAAGACGGGTTCTTAGACGTATAATAATAGGACGTATTGAACAATGCCATTGAATGGCAAATGATAATGATAGACTATAAAATGTAGATATTTTAAAATGAAGGAATATTAGAACAAAAGTTGGAAGCAGATTTTTGAAATAAGAGACCGAAACAGTTACACAAAAACATCAATATTAAAATAAAAGTGCTTCGATTAGAAGACGAAATAATAAAAATTTAAAAGATAGTAACACGACTTGTCTGTAATGTATGTACATGAACAAATATTATGAAAAATTCGTAATGATGTGAAAGCGGTGAAATAAAATGACAACGAATAAAAATGTAAGAAATAAGAAATACATTGAAGCTATTATAAAAATTATAAACATATGTAATAATTAAAAATTAACTCTACGTACCTTTGCACTAAGGGCCTATTGATTTTGGCATTTTAATCAGTCTTACACCCACTAACACTTTACACACTACATTTTTGAAACTTAAACTTTAAAACTTTAAAACTTAAAAACTTTAAATTAGCTAAACTAAAAAAAACACTTCCACCACCACTGGATCATGAATCTGAAAAAGAAACACAAAAATTAACTCTCTAGTTATATCATTCACTAATATACTGATTTCATATTAATTAACTCTTACAGATTTTTTGGTATCTCCGCACTTTTGATAAGAAACTTCCATCATTCTCACACAATCAGTGGATCATAAACCTGTTAAAGAAACACTTAAATTATGGAAATGGAAATACTTATAAATCATTCACAAATTAATATATAGATTTCTTATTGATGAACACTTACAGGCTTTGTGGTAGCACCGCACTTTTGATCCAAGATACGAAATAGATAAAATATATTTCTCATGCTGAAGAAACGCTTCACTGTTCTTAGTACTGCTTCTCGAGTTTAGATAAGTTTATGCAAGTCTGGACCTGTCCAATATAAAGCAATGACAAAATGATTAATTTTTAATATTAACAATAAAATACTTAGATGAAACTAACAAATTGCGTGCAGCGTAAGAACTGCTGTAAGAGTTGGGTCGATTACTCGCTCATTCATACAGCTTATCTGAAGGAGAAATCTCACATATAGTTTACTGATAAGCTCGAGATCCTATCGAATTACATTGAATGGCTAAAAAAAAATTGAAAATCATATTTTCTGGTTGAAAACATGAACCTCTCCTTCGGGACGTTAATAAGAAAAATCATTTCAAACAATTCAATTAAATCAAATGTCTTAAAAGGGATGAGTCATTTTCAGCGAACGCATTGCAATGCCCAAATATGGTCATGTTCGACTCGGCGTCGTTATGATAAAAATGCTACATTTTACACAAAATCGTCGAAATTTTCGGAAAATAATAATCTATCTTTGCAAAATAACTGAATAGAAGCCGAAATAAAGCATTCATATAAGTGGATGCATTATCAGACCTCGGTATGGAATCCGACTTGAAAAATGAAGGAGAAATCTCACATATAGTTAATGATAAATCGAATTACATTAAATGGCTTAAAAAAATTGAAAATCATATTTTCTGGTTGAAAACATGAACCTCTCCTTCCGGACGTTAATAAAAAAAATCATTTCAAACAATTCAATTAAATCAAATATCTTAAAAGTGATGAGTCATTTTCAGCGAACGCATTGCAATGCCCAAATATGGTCATGTTCGACTCGGCGTCGTTATGATCAAAATGCTATATTTTACACAAAATCGTCGAAATTTTTGGAAAATAATAATCAATCTTTGCAAAATAACTGAATAGAAGCCGAAATAAAGCATTCATATGAGTGGATGCATTAACAGACCTCGGTATGGAATCCGACTTGAAAAATACACTTTTCTGTTAAAAATCTATCTAAAATACGATAAATCATTAACGAATTAATTAACATCATGATCATAATTAGATATACGTTGTTATAAATCAAGGATGCTTCATGATTGTCTTAAGCGCAAGCAACACGGCAAGCAAGTTACACAATTTTGTAAAAATAATATTATATAAATAATATAAACTAAATAAATGAACAAACTTTTTGATAGCAGCACTCAAAAGCTATTGCAACTCAACACTATTCCAGATGAGAACGATTTCAAAAACGCCGAGTCACGCTGAGCGTCTACTGCACGCAAAGCCTTTTCAAGGCGGCGTCATCAGAAAAATGCAAAATTTTACACAAAATTGTTGGAAAATAATAATTAATCTTTGTTAAATAGGTAATTAGAAGCCGTAATAAAGAATTCATATGCGTGGATGAATTATCAGACCTCGGTATGAAATCCGACTTGAAAAATACACTTTTGTGTTGAAAATCTATCCAAAATACGATAAAGCATTAACGAATTAATTAAAATCATGACCATAATTAGTTATACGTTGTTATAAATCAAGGATGCTTCATGATTGTCTTAAGCGCAAGCAACACGGTACGCAAGTTACACAATTTTGGAAAAATAATGTTATATAAATAATATAAACTAAATAAATGAACAAACTTTTTGATAGCAGCACCCAAAAGCTATTGCAACTCAACACCAGATAAGAACGATTTCAAAAACGCCGAGTCAAGGTGCCGATACACTGTAGAGTTTTTGGCTAGAGTCGCTCTAACTAGAGCTCTAATAGAGCGCTCTATGTTGAGTCCCATAGTGTACACAGCTACTAGAGCACTCTATCGGGAGTCAGTCTACGCTCTCCGTAGACAAGCTCGCTAGACAAATGATATGCAGTGTACACAGGCGTCTCTGCACAACTTCCACGCTCTAGCGGTTAACTCTAGCATTATTCAACTTGTTGGATATTTTTTTGTATTATACGTAGAGTTTTCTTTGTTTTGCTTTGCTAGGTTATGTATGGTTAGGTTATTTATCCGTGTGTTTATTTGAAAAAGAAAAGTTGTTTTTTTTTTGATTTTGGAAAATGGAAGCATTATATGATGAAGAACAGTGCGAAAAGTTTGTTTGGGAGAGAAATAAAGTGTTTCAATTAATTGAATTGGTAGAGGCTCGTCCAGAATTGTGGAATATCAGGTTGAAGGAGTATAGGAATCGAAACCTGAAACAACAGTCCTTGGAAACGATAGCAACGTCTTTAAATTTGGGTGTTAAAACAGTAAAAGACAAAATTCATAATTTGAGATGCCAGTTAAATGAGCATCTGAGAAAAATGAAAAAGTTCAAAAGTGGTCAGGGCGCAGATGAAAGGTATAAACCGAAGTGGGAGTTTTTTGAGGCTGTCAAGTTTATGAATATCCAGATAAATTCAACAAAGGATTCAATTGTCAGTGTTGGCAGTGCCCCTGATATTATTACAGATGTGCTGGTAAGTAAATAAAGTAAATTCATATTGTGATTTAAAATTTTTATTGTAGGATACATTTGACATTCATATAACAAAAATCTAATGACAAAACAATATATAAATTAATAAATAAAAAAATCAAACATATTTATATTGCCACGGTAGTTCACCTGCTCTGGACATAAAATACGTTCTAAAATTTTCGCGTACTTGCTTGGCTGTGCATGTTGGATTTCTTGCGCCTGTATGTTGTAATGAATAAAAGGAATTTTGTGGAAGTGGGTCATCTCGCCAACAACCTTCAATAAGCCTGCCATTTTCTTCCATGTCAACAGTACCTTCAGAAACATATCTGGTCGACTTTTTTTCAATTAGATAATTATGTAGCACACAAGCAGCTTGAACTAGCTTCATTACTTTCTGAGGACATAGTTCAACTGGCTTTCTAAGAAAACAAAAACGCATCGAAAGCAAACCTAATGCATTTTCTACCACTCGACGTGCTCGAGAAAGTCTATAATTAAAAACGCGATTTTCAACAGGTTGGTCTCTAAAAGGGAATGGTTTCATAATGTAGGTTTTTAACGGAAAAGCGTCATCGGCAACAATGACATATGGCACCGGAACTGACTGGCCACGTAATGGCTTTGCTTCGGGTATATTCAATGACTTGTTTTCCAAACACTTAGATAGTGAACAATTTGCATATACACCCCCGTCTGACACTCTCCCATTACAACCTACTTCTATGTACAAAAATTTGTAATCAGCATTCACTAGAGCCATTAATACAATGCTATGTGTCCCCTTGTAATTATAATATAGACTTCCTGAGTCTTCTGGTGCCTTCATTACCACATGTTTTCCATCAATAGCTCCTATGCAATTTGGAAAGTTCCAAGTAGCATCAAATCGCTTTGCTTCATTTTCCCACTCCTCTGATGTACAAGAAATCTGTAAAAAAAAGAACAAAACATTTAATTTTCATTTATTATTTTAACTTTTTTTAGGACCATCATGATGAGGAAATGAAAGATAATTCTGGGTCTTGGCAGACTCCTGTTACAAAACCTCATAAAAATAAAAAACGGGCACCCGATTCAGTTAAAAAGGATGATGAGTTGCTGAATGAAGCTTTAGCTTGTTTACGAGCTCCGAAAGATCACTTGGATGTATTTGGAGAGTTTGTTACTGCAGAGTTGAGAGTATTACCCTATGAAGATATCCGAAATAAATTAAAACTTAAGATTCAGAGAGCTATTTTAGACGCACATGAGGAAGTCAACATGCGAGGAGTATCCTCCCCCAGTTCACAGTCTATGCTGTCTCTGAGTAATTTGAGTGAGTACTCCGGTTCATCGAGCACTCCAGTAATATGCCAGATAATTTCTCCAACGCAAAACGAGACTACTTTAACGCAATATTATGACAAAATGTAACATTTTCTCATACCTTCAAATAATCATTTTTCAATTCCAAGTACAGAGCATCACACACCTCCGGAACAATGCGAGAAATAGTTGTTGGTGGAATCCGAAACAAATAACTTAATGACTGATAACTGTCACCTATAATAGAATTTATTTACAATTAATATTGGTACAATTTTTATAAATAAATAGTAAAAAAAATGTTTTTGTATTATTTTAAATAATTGTTTTATACCACTTACCAGTAGCAAGAAATCTCAGTGTCAGTGTTAACCGCTCAGATGGTGATATTGATTTTCTTAGGTGAGTATCTTGTTTTGTAATTCTTGGAGCAATTCGTTCCAGCAAATGCTGAAAATCCTGATGGGTCATTCTTATAAAATTTTCATAAGAACTTACGTCTTGATACTCAAGTTCTTTCAACAACTTTGCATAAACTCCCTCTTCTTCTCTTTTGGCAATCCATTCCCTAACCCACATTTTTTTTTTTACTGTCTTATTTCTTTTTTTAACTAAACTATATACCACCAATGCTGCTAAACCTTGTTTTCGCCGGGAACTCATTATAATAACTATACACTAACTAATATACACTAATAAAATTGTCAATTGTCTCACAAGAACTAACCTGAAATACGAAGTTCACTTCTATAGTCTACTTGTCAAATTTACACTCTACCAAGATTAATATTTATTAATATATTTTTCCACAAGTGTACACAGCTTTATTATAATAACTATACACTAACTAATATGCACTAATAAAATTGTCAATTGTCTCACAAGAACTAACCTGAAATACGAAGTTCACTTCTATATATATCAGTTCTATAGTCTACTTGTCAAATTTACACTCTACCAAGATTAATATTTATTAATATATTTTTCCACAAGTGTACATAGCTTTATTATAATAACTATACACTAACTAATATGCACTAATAAAATTGTCAATTGTCTCACAAGAACTAACCTCAAATACGAAGTTCACTTCTATAGTCTACTTGTCAAAGTTACACTCTACCTAGATTAATATATATTAATATATATAGCCACAAGTGTACATAGCTTTTTAGAGTGTCTAGGTAGAGTTGCTCTAGCACCTTTCACCTACTTCTCTCCTAGAGTACGAAAGAGCTCTCGGAAGAAAAAAACACTTTACAGTGTACAGACAACGGTAGAGCGCACTAGCAAGAGAGTCTACACTCTACCTAGATATTTCTCTACAGTGTATCGGCACCTTCACGCTGAGCGTCTACTGCACGCAAAGCCTTTTGAAGGCGGCGTCATCAGAAAAATGCAAAATTTTACACAAAATCATCAAAATTGTTGGAAAATAATAATTAATCTTTATTAAATAGGTAATTAGGAGCCGTAATAAAGCATTCATATGCGTGGATGCCTTATATTTAGTCGCCACGTGCACATGGTACTAGATGCTAAAAATACACTTTTTTATCACAAATATTTCTAAAATACGATGAAACTTTAAATAAATCACTGAAATCATTATTAAAATTAGTTATAAGTCGTTATAAATCAAGGATGCATCACGATTTCTTTTGATGCACGCGTCGGAAACGTCACTTGGGTTCAGCATGAAAATGAAATTCACTTTTAGGATAAATAACTTAATAATTATATTAATTCAAATCAAAATCTAGGTTGAATATATGATTAAACTAATTGATAACATCTAATTATCGAATATAGTTCAAATATATTCATGTATAGATTGATTTATAGTAATTAAAAATCCTACCTTGATAATCCAAAGCACTTTCTTCCATTGTTCTTATCACTGGGGAGGTCCGTCTCATACTAAAGACGATTGATAACTGAGGGTGTTCAGAGGTGGTGGGGGAGTGTTGCCACCACAAAAATTATTAACTAATTTGTGCAACATGTGAGCGAGCGGTGATGTCACATCGCGCGAGTTTTAAATTTGCAATTATACATTGTAAATTTAATTCAATAGGAGTTGATGCAGTGCGAAGTTGCTCAGTGATATGACGCGGCAATTTTAAAACGCTATTTGAGCAAATTAGTATAAACGAAGTTTATTAGCATATTAATTTGATTTGAATTTAATATTTTATCAACAAATATATAAGTTGTGTACTTAATTAAAACATATTAATTCATATGGCGTGGGAATTACGACCTAGTGTTATAATAATAATAAAGATGAGTTAATAATTATAATAATATTAAAAATGAGTAAATATATAATTAAATATAAAAAAAATTATAGAAGCACATATAGTCAGAATAATTAAGTTAATTAATTAAACAACTTTTTAAACAAAATGGTACAAATGTATTCGAGGAAGAACAGATATTATTAAACGTTTTATCTTCGTTTTTATTATTTTCATCATTTTATCAATTTATTTCAATAGGAGCTAATATAGTATGAAGTTAATCAGTGAAATGACGCGGCAATTTTAAAACATTATTTGAACAAATTAGTAAATAGGTAGTCTTTTATCATATAAATTTGACTTGTATTCAATATTTTATCAACAAATATGTAAGTTGTATACTTAATTGGTGCACTGAGAATTTTTCTCACTTTTAATTCATATAGCGTGGGTATTACGATCTAGTATTATAATAATATTAAAAATGAGTTAATAAGCTAATATAAAATGAAGTTGCTCAGTGTTATCAATAAGTTAATAAGCTAATATAGAATTAAGTTGCTCAGTGATATTACGCGGCAATTTTAAAACATTATTTGAACAAATTGGTATGAAGGAAGTCTATTTACATATAAATTTGACTTGAATTTAATATTTTATTAACAAATATGTAATGTAAAGTAAGTTGTGTACTTAATTGGTGCACTGAGAATTTTTCTCACTTTTAATTCATAAAGCGTGGATATTACGACCTCGTATTACAATAATATTAAAAATGAGTTAAATTGTATTCAATATTTTATAAACAAATATGTATTATTTAATTACACGCATTATAATATTATGAGTTCGGTATTACAAACTAGTATTTTATTATATTATAAATAAGTAAATAAATAATTATACAAAAATATAAAAACTAAAATGAAGCACATATAGTCAAAATAATAAGGTTTATTATTGATTAATTAAATTAATAATTAATTAATTAATAAATAATAGGGATAACATGGTACAAAAGTAGCCGAATAAAAATATAGTTTTATTCAACGTTTTATATTTAAACGTTTAATATTGAAATAATTGAATAATTTATAACAAAACATGTTGAATATGATATAATAATTAGATTAGAGTTTGTAATCTGAACTTATTTGTTAATTGTTGTAAAATCATTGATCATATATAGAGGATTTTGATTACGTCCGTATGAAGATAATAACACCAAATGTCAAATAATGGTATTATTAAACTTCTGGATTTTCTATGGATATTTAATAGTGATGCTGTATGGGCTTATAGTGTTATATATATATATATATATATATGTATATATATATATATATATATATATATATATATCTATATATATAAAAGAGGATCGCTTTATGTGGTAAATCTTATAACTCACGAACGGCTGAACCGATTAAGATGAAAATTGGCAGGGATGTAGTTTAGAGCCAGGAGAAGGACTTAGGATACTTTTTATCCCTTTATTTCATTCTAATTCAAAATTAATTATTTATAAACTATCCATGTAGTTTATTCAATCTATGATACTATCAATGATTTCATCCATGACATTTACATTCGATTGTCAACTGTCATTCGGTGTTTCTGTTTTGATACAAATATATTAATATGCATTTCTTAATGACCATTATTTGAAAATTATTACGTGAATAATATAAATATTTTAATCGCCACGGAAAATTAATACAAAGTGGCAAATAAATTAATTCTTAATAATAGCAAGCGATGCTAGATGGACGATGGGGAAATTTATTTCTTGAAAATGGAAATGTAATTATTTATATAATTAGGTATTTATGTATATTTGTTTATACGTATTTAAATAGAGTATTTGAGGTGTTTATATTATATATCAGCAATAAGTATAATCATCAACAAATTAATAAAAAAAAATATTCTGAAATATAGTTTCTTGACATAACCTCAAAATTTGTAATAAAAATGTAAATAGTTATACATTAATTGTTGTTAATTTGTAATTTCTTTATACATATCTTATAAAATGTTTCAGGTGTTTACAACTAATTGGCATATATATATTATCAGCAAATGTGCTTTGATTCGACAATAAAAAGGTCTAATTGAAGTAATCAACTACCTTAAGTTAACTATAGTGATAAAATATTAGTTTTTGGTTCTCATATATTATAACCCAGCTATAAACCTCACGGAGCCCCAGACCTTTCCAGCGAATGCAAAATTGTCGAATTCGGTTTGTGCATTCTGGAGTTATATCGTCGGAACTTATAACTCAAGAAGGCTGAACCGATTTAACTGAAAATTGGCTTTGGTAAAGTTGGTAAAAGTTGGTTCAGAGCCAGGAGAAGGACATAGGATACCTTTTATCCCGTTCGACTTGGAATAACAACAAGCAAATGACAGCTATGTAATCACGTATGGATGACAATTCAATATTTGTAAGGAATTAATAACAAAATTATTTATTTTAAATAAATAATTAACAATTATAATATAATGATAGTGCCATTGCCCATTCGTATAAACAGTGAAGCGAACTATGTATAACTCAGTATGGTTGACAAATCATATTTTTCTCAAACACAATGCTCTGAAAGAACTCATTTGTATAATTATGTACTCATTGGTATTTATAAAACCTTTTCTAGATTATTCAGATTTAGAACCTAAATTTGGAATCGATCAAAGGAACATTTTGTCGAATAGCTTATTTCCAGTTATAATTTCCTGAATTTATTCAAGAATGGATAGTAATATATGAAGATCCACGACCGAAGTGTCAAAAACCAGTAAAGCTAAGCATTGTTTAACAACAGTATTTGAATGTAAAGGGAAAAATGTGTATAATCAGCTATAACCTTGATTCTTATGACTTTGGTATTGGGAGATAAATGGTAATCTTTGAAAATCCATAGTAAAAGTATTTTCTTCCATTGGTAGTTTTCTAGCAATTAGTTGAAAATGTAATTATTTTGTAAAATACCTTTGAAATTAAAATATGAACATTAAATATGACATTAGACCTGCTTGCCATCTGGCCGTTCCAAGTTACCCCGTTATAGGGTAAAAAGGTCTAGATAAAAAATTTTTAAAGACAGCAAAAAAGCACGTTTTTACAATGATGAAGTAGCTGGTAGTTTTACTGAACGTAGTCAGATAATTGTTCATTTGAAATGTGTCATTTGTTGTGATGTAATTGGTTTGATTTTCATAATAAAATTTATATTTGCTTAAAGTCAAATTGGACCTTTGTGCCTTGCCCTGTTCTACATATATACCTTTTATTAAATTTACTTTTATTCATCGAATATTACTAGAAACTTTTCAAAAAGCAGGTCAAAGAAGAGATACCTAAATCATTTTGTATCTCTCCTCGCAAAAATTTGAAAAATTTGTATAAGCTCAATAGTATTATTTACAATTATACACAAAATCCAGAATCCAAAAAAATTTCAAAAAATTTGAAACGCATTCAATAATCGATTAAATGGAATTTGTAATGACTATATAAGTCGAAAGACCAACAAAGACTTGGATTGAATTATGCCATGTTTTCTATAGAAAGTGTATAAAACTTTCAGTTTGGTTGTATTAATAAAATATATACAAACTAATGGGGTTTATTGTTTCTATAATACCTCATTGTATATAGCAATTCAAACAACACATCCTTACACAAAAAGTATTAATTTTTTAGATACTCTAGAAATTGTTTATAAAATAATAACTTAAATATAACTTAGCAAAACAACGTTTGCCGGGTCAGCTAGTATATATATATATATATATATATAAAGTTGTCAAATACCCTATTTCATTTGCTTTCATAATTTAAAAGTTATAGTTTTTTAAGTGAGTTAATGTACACCAGAATACCCTAACAATAAGTATTATTAATCACATGACATTAATTTTTATTTCATGACTAAAGCTAGTTGCTGTAGGTTCTTATGATGTTAAAAAATGTTAATATTATAATAATAAATTCAGAGTAGACCGAGTTACAATATAGTCCGTGTTCAAAAATCTTTATATGAATATAATTCTACTAAACTGCAATTAATTTGACAGATCCTGTGTGTACATGGACATCAATATACAGTCCTGGGAAGAAAGTTAAATAACTTCCTAATAATTGAATAATTCATGACAAAATAAGTTGAATATGATATAATAATTATATTAGAGTTTATATTTCAAAGCTATTTATCAATTGGAGTAAAATTATTGATCTTTTATAGAGGATTTTGATTGCGTCCGTATGACGATAAGTTAATAACACCAAATGTCAAATAATGAATATTTCTCGTTTAGTTCAACCGGTACAGTAATTATTAAACTTCTGGATTTTCTATGGAAATTTAATAGTAATCCATGATGCTGTATGAGCTTATAATGTTAGATATTATATATATATAAAGTTGCCAAATACCCTATTTTATTTACTTTCATAATTTAATAGATATAGCATTTTAAGTGAGTTAATGTACACCAGAATAAACTCACAATAAGTATTATTTATCACTAGTTTTTATTTCATGATTAAAGCTAGTTGCAGTAGGTTCTTATAATGTTAAAAAATGTTAATATTATAATAATAAATTCAGAGTAGACCGAGTTACAACATAGTCCGTGTTCAAAAATCTTTTATATGAATATAATTCTACTAAACTACA